GGCGTCAATTTATTACGTTATGTTGCTCTCTGACCTGAAACATGCAGCACTGAACTGCTTTTTTTCACCTTTATGAGGTTGTTCATTATATTTTCTTAAATGTATCACTACAGAGCTTCATCTTTTGGAGAGCCAGATGTCTAATATTTCTGTATGTGTCACCAGTCAGTGAGATTGGAAGCAGGAATCTGTGTAATGCTATCAATCAGCTATGAATGAGTAAAGCTATGAATCAGTCCAGTGGCTAAAAGTGATTCAGAGGCAAGAATAGTAAAAGATAAAGATGCAGGAAGAGAAAAGGAATAAAAAAAGATAGGGAAGATACAGAATTTGAATGAGATGCACAGAGCATGAAAGCCCATTTCGAACTGGGGTTTGCATAAAAGAAGTGAAGCTAACAAGAGAAACTGAGGTCCTCACAAAAGTGTAAAATATTGAAACGGAGGCTAATAGGGTTACTATGAAACTGAGATTATGTGGGTGCAAATAATTGAGGCAGCAGATTCAGCAAAATACAGATTGAATTTTTAAGTGTGCTTTTCAGTCCCACAGAGGCTGAACTTGTGCTTAGAATCCTACCTGTGCTTATGTGCTAAATTAATGGCATAATTAACACAGTCTTGTCCTTCAGCTGTCACTGAACGGGATTCACTTCAGCCAGGGAATTCAGACTGCATGCTACTTCAGAAAACTGCTCTTCTTTAAGAACACAAAACCTACACTTAAAAGACACGATTTCTCTTTAACATTTTTCAGACTGTTTTTACTTGGAGGGCTTTAGTGGGCCTTGGCATTGATCCAATACATATGAACTCCTCCGAGGGTAGAAGACAGTTTGAAATCCTCCCTAAAATTTTTCTTCCCTTTGTTACTATGTTGAAACAAAAAATAGCTTCTTCTTGTTGTTGTTTTTCCTAGTATTCCTGAATTGCTTCACGTGCACAATGCAGTAAAATGTAAAAGAAAATTGTTTTTGGAATTTATGCTACCAATTTTTCTCTGTTAATGACTTTTAGGTCCAGTAAAATTAACAGATGTTTCCTACCAAAGTAGCGTGAAACTAAATTTTAAGTGGTTTTTCTCTTTTAAAAACACAAAGCTAGAGACTGTCAAATAAATGTGTTTTATATACGATCCTAAAGCTCTTATCTGAAGTTAATTAAAAATTAATCTTAGGTGGATATATCGTGGTGGTTTTGTAAATGTGTTTCTGGGGATGAGATTAATTACATCCATTGATGTGAATAATATACAGTCGATATCCATTTTCCTTTCTAAAAGGTTGAAATCAAAGCCATTCTACAACTGGGACTTTGTTTTCCCTAAAAAATCAGTATAGCAGGCAGTTAAAATGGGAACAAAGAAAAACATGAAAACAGCAGTAGAAGGTAACTGCAGTTAGTCAAATAATATATGAAATATCACATAACTTTCTGAAAATCCAGAGGTATTTTCAATAGGCAGAATTCATGATAGGTTATAGGTACAATTCTTCATGGTTCCTCTTTGGATTTTTAATTAAAAATACTATGCAATCATTTGTCAAAATGTGTTTCTTAAAAGCGGAATTATGGCAAAGGAGAACAATAACCATATGGTTATAAAATGGCTTTTTGAATATGGCATTACAATAATGGCTTTGGTACTGTCTTAATTCAAATAACTTAACAACAAAAAATTTTCTGACAAGGGTGAGTTTTTGTTCCAGTGTTGTTGTGGCTGTTAAATTATAAAGCCATATTTCAGTGAATATACTGCTCCGTAGTATATAAACAGAGCTTGAACAGTTTCAGAGATAACATGGATCCAGTTATTCGTGGGCAGGCATCAGGAGGACACTGGATCTCTCCCTCTTAGGTAAAAGGGCTACTAACCTGCAAAAATTAGAGATTCTACACCATCTCCAGACAACCAGTTCCAGTGTTTGAACACTTTTATGGTATTTTTTCCTCTTCTATCTGGATATGGAATTTTCCTTGTTGCTACTTATGTCTGTTGCTATCACTGTGCACCTCTGAGAACAGGCCAGCTCCATCTTCCAGCCCTGTCCTGTAGGCACACAGTTATCAGGTAATTGCAAGATCTCCCCTCCGCCTTCTCTTGTCCAAGCTGAATATGTCCACCTCTCTCAGCCCTATCATATGCAGAATGTTCTTCAGGCCCTGACCATTCAAGACCTCTTTAACTGACTGTCTGGCAGGTCAGTATTGTTGTTGTAACTGGGGGAGCCCAAAACTGGATACAGTACTCAGATGCAGTCTTACAAGAGCCGGATAGAGGTGAAGGATCGCTTCTGTAGCTCTGCTGGCCTCTGGACCTCTTGCTAACATAGTCCAGGATGCCACTGGCTTTCTTCACTGTGACGTGCAGCTTGTCCTCTAGGAACTCTGGTTTCTTTTCTGCAGACTATTTATGAATATCCTCCAGAATATATAGTTGCAATGGGCAATTCCTTTCAGATACAAGAGCTTGCACTTGCTTTTCTTAGGGTCTGGGAGGTTTGTGTCAACTTGTTACTATAGATCATAAAGGTCTCTCTGAATAGCAGCCCTGCCCTCCAGCTGAATTCTGCTTTTGAGATATAATAAAAGAATAGGAAAGCTAGAGAAACACAGTGGGAAAGAAGCATCAGAAGCCTCTCAGGGGAAGAGAACCAGATGGAGATTAGATATCTGCATTTACCTCTAGAAGTTACTCGTAATGGAAAGGAAACATTATAGAAATGCTCGATTGCCTAAGCATTTTTCTGTTGGCACTAAGTTAGTTTAATCTTTGGTCCTACCCTCTTGAAAAAAAAAAAAGGATTTGTGCTGATTTCATAGTATTTGTTGGCACCTTGCCTTATGGTATTGATATTGCATGATACTGTATTTATCTCCCATAACATTTTAGTTATGTATGTGTTTTGATTTGATGACAGGGGCAGTTTTAAGTCACAGTCTAAAATGGAGTCTTTATATACAGTTCTGTTTCCCCCAGAGGAGTTGCCTGGGAACTCTCACAGACTGAAATGTGCAGCACTCTGCAGATGGTCTACTTAAACTCATTTTGTGCTGCACTCTTCTTAGGAGGAGGAAGATTTTGAAAGCCAGGGAGACCATCTGGATTTATCTAATTATTCTTTTTTTTTTTCTTCTGCATTAAAAGTGTGTATTAAGACAAGCCATCCAAACAGTTGCATTGCTAATGGAATGATATTCCTCATTCTTTGGCTCCGTATATTCCATAAATCTTTAAGGCTTTTAGAGCGGATAAACTGTCATAGTTTGTCACCACTTCCATCAGGATGGCGTTCTCTTTGCGAAGTATGTATCCTAGAGCTCTGCATGAGCAATTTGTGGTTAGGGAATGTGGCTCCAGGACAAACTTGTAAGATAGATGAAGCAAATTCAGCCTCTGGCAGCTTTAGGAATCACTGCAAGTTCTCATACCCCTTGCAGAAATCAGCCCTCTCCCAAATCCAGTGTTCTTTTCACATGAGCAAATAAAAACCTTTAGAACAGTTGAATTGAGCTAGGAAAATACCACACACAGTCTTCACAACAAAAAATAATGCAGGAGAAAACCTTTCCGAGTCCACCAGGGAACACTGCTGATTTATGTGTAGGATGTTAATGCACGGCACTATTAAGCCACAAATTATTCAAGGAGCGATTTTTCCAGTACACAACAAATACCACTAATGATTAGTGATCCTAGGAATGTGGTCTCTATAGTGCAGAAAGGATGTTATTGCAGTGATATAACTGCTTCATGTGACCTGCGGTATGAACCTCTGCGTCTGCGGAATGGGAGACAAAGGAGCACATATAGATTACAGCCCATCTTCCATTACGTGCTGTGGGATGTCTCGGTGACTATTACATCCTACAAGCTGACTTAAAACAGCCTCATGTCAGACAGCCTTCATTGACTGCTTTCACTGAGCTGTTGCTAAAAAGGTATCAGCAGGAGAAAAGTATAAAACTTAGTAAACTTGTGTTAAGGAATGCTTCGTAACACCCTGCATGCTTTATGTGAAAAAAGCCTCAGTAAGCACTGAGCTTCAACTTGACCGTCTGTCTACTCTCAACATCTTGACTAGCAACAGTAGTCTTAACGCAATCAGTGAGAGCCATTTAAACAGTTCTTTGAGCAGCTGCGTGGTTGAGGAGGGCTTCTCCTAAGGTGCCCTTCCTGCCATGGTGGTGCAGTGGGTGCAGACACTGCTGGTCAGGAAAGCAGCATCTGCCTCACGGAACTGCTGTGGGATGTGGAGAATGCTTTGAGTGCTTGTTGCCCCCCAAGTAGGCTTTCATGGTTGCCTTGGGCAGCTAGTTCAGTGCAATACTAGCTACTCGCAATTTTGCTTTCTTGATGAAATACTTGAAAGATAGGTTCTTTTTCTTCAAAATACCTAATCGTCTAGATGAGTGTAGCCCTCTATAACCAGCCTCTGATCACACGCTAGGTGTTCCAAGAGCTAGATGAGAAATAGTTGGAATTGCAACGCCCTGAGCCCTCTTGCCTGTTCTCTCTTTCTTAGCGCTGGAATCGTGTTTATAAGCGGAGACCAGCGACTCCAGTTTATTCTTTTCTGTTTGAAACAGCGAAACTCGTGCCTCCACCGAGTTTTCTGAAGCAGTTTTGACTCAAAAGCGAAATGCTCTCGGTCAGATCTTAAGGGAGAATCGAGGAGGCACAAAGAGGGGCGGTGAAACCCGGACCCGTCTCCCGCGGGGCGAATGCGCAGCCCCGCCTCTGAGGAGCCCTCCCGAGGCCGGGGCTCCCGCGTGCCGGGGGCGGGCCACGGGGGCGGCAGGAAGCGGGGCAGCCCCTCAGCCGCCGGGAGCCGCGGCGCGCACCCGGAAGCGCTTGGGCCGCTGGCAGGGGGCGCCTGGCTGCGGTTGGGGGCGTGCGCTCGGTCCGTCGGCGGCCGCGGGGCGCAGGGCAGAGACGCGGCCCGACCCGGCCGCCCCGCAGCCCGCGATGCGCTCGGACCGCCGGCCACGCCGCGGGGCATGGTGAGCCCGGGGCGGCCGCTCCCCGCGGGGACCCGGCAGGCGGCCTCGCTACTCCGCCTCGGCCTCCTCCTCCTGCCGCCGCTGCTGCGGGGCTCCGGAGCACAGAAAGGTGAGCGAGCGGGCGAGTGAGGGAGAGAAGCGGGCCCTGCGTGGCTGCGCGGTCGGGAGCGGGCTACCACCTGTGCTCCGCCACCGGCGCGTGGCCCCGCGTCGCAAAGAAGAGCCCCTTCGCGGGGACGGAGCCCCGTTCCTTCCTCCCTCTCCCAGCGTGCCGGGGCCGCCCAAGGCTGCAGGCCTTCCTCCGGCGGGGGGAACGCGGGGCTGCGGGCACGGCTGCCGCGCTTCAGCTCGGCGGGGGTGAGCAGAGTGGTGCGAGCCGGGGGGCAGAGCGCCGTGCTGGCTGCGAAGATAGACTGAGCGCACCCCAGAGCGGGAAGCCGGTCTAGGGGCGAAAGTGCTGAATCTGTGTTTGGTCGCTGTGGCTTTGTGGGGGGGTGTTTTTTCTTTTTTTTTTTTTTTTTTTTTTTTTGTTCAGAGAAGTCGGAGAGGTTTGTTCTTTGGTGGCATTAATGATCGGGCTTCAACGGATTGAAAATTACAGGGCGAGATGTGGTCACTTCGTGGCAGCGGATCAGAGGATGCCGCAGTAAATGTCACTTTGATCACAGCCTCGGGAGAGAGCGGTGGGAGTGAGTGTTTTGACAGCATCTTGAAGCTCTTCCTTCTGTGAATACAGGGCTTGAGAAATGCTGCAGTTTTCAGCTCCTCTTGCTTTGGCACCGCTCTGGCTTTGGGTTGGGAACTCAGCTCTCTTCAAGTAAATTTCTGCACATCTGAAGGAGAGGTAGAAATATATCTGAAATGTCACAGACGCTGTGTTGAAATACACAGCGGCGGTCAGAAAATGCGTGCAGTATACTGATAAGCACACAACTTATTTCTTGTATGGGAAAAGATTGGAGAAGTGCTCGTAGAGGAAACTACTCCACTGTCTTATCTTGTCATCTTGTTTCCACATATACACATACGAAACTGACACCAGCAAGCATTTGGCATGCTTTTTGTTGTTGTTAACAGAGGAGGAGAAAACCCATTTGTTTTTGAGAAGAAATAGGGCAGTTAGAGCATTGTGTCTTTTGAAGGCTGTATCTGGATGAGTCTGGCAGCAGCGAGGTGTTGGTTTGTGCTGCTGAAGCATCATGCTCGTGAATGTGTGCTCCAAATGCTTCTGCTGACTTGACACTTGTCTGACCTTTTGGTGAGCAGACTGCGTTTGTTATTCTAGGAGAAAACTGAAATAACCAAGGGGAAAAGAAAGAGGTGTAGTTTTCCTTCAGCTCAGGGAGCTGAATTGGCTCAGTGAGTGGTCAGCTGTATGCAAAAGGGTTGGCACCACATAGTAAGAAGTGGGAGCCAGTGGACAGTGGATTTCTAAGCGTGCTGTTTGTGTTGTTTCTTTTGTACTCCTACCCAGAATTTCAATTTAAAGGGTCTGTCTGCTTAATGCTTACAGTTTGCTCAGAAGATTCGCTTCAGAGAAGGAGGGAAATCTGCTCATTGACAAGCTTCATTTTATTTGGTAACCAAAGGTTAAGATCTCTTGTGCTGTTGGATAAAATGGTCTTTATAGTGAGAAAATGTTGGAAATTCTGAGAAAACTCTGCTTGTGACCGACCATTTCCTCATAATATATTATCTTACTACAGAAAAGGCTGGAGAGCCTGTATCTTCAATATTGGTGTCATTCTAATTTGGTTAAAGAGTAGACATAGAAATGAAACTGCTGCCTTTTTCATGAAGAGTCTGCACAAAACTAAATTAGCACATTAAATGTGTGCAGAGTTGTAAGAGAATTACCAGGAAAGTACCCAAAGCTTAGGAAATTCCACAGTTAAAGTTGCCTTTAATCTCTTAGAAGAAATACAGTGAGTTCCTACGTGTTTTGTAGGAGCCCAGGCTGCCTTGGTACGTTAGGGAAGCTGATCCTCTCAACAAACAGCTATTTGTTTTCTTTCTTGCTGTTCAGCAGCTCTAAGCCTTGCACGCTGCAAGGTATGTGGATCCTGTTCTGAAGATGGAATGTTTCCATCTCCTACATGCTTTCCTGGAGAGCTCCTCGTTGGTATCAAGTGATTAAAAAATAACTGTATGTTTTTGGTCAGTGTGAAACTTATTTTGAATGTTTGTCTAGAGTCTTCCTACCCTTCCAATGAGGAAGTCAAAACTAACGTGGAAGAAGTGCGGGTGATACTGCAGTGAATAGATGTTTCACTTAATAGCCCACTGTGTTGTGGGATTAAAGTGTGGTCTGTCATGTTGAAAATGATCTTGTGTAAGAAACTCAGCATTCTTTGGGACAGGCTGCTGAGCAATGGCTCACTGTCTTGGAAAATAAGAGCATTTTGCATGAGGTCTAACACCTTTGGAAACATTGAGAAAAGCTCAAGAGAAAAGTACCTGTACTGTATTTGGTACAGTCTTGTGCATCGGGAACTGCCCAAGTGGCTGCTGTGCAAGTCACCTTGTGTGATTTTGAAAACGCTGTGGTGACACGAGTTCCTGCTTGCTAGGAAGTTGATATTAGAAAGGAACACAAAGCATTTTAGATGTTTTTCATACAGTTAAGTAGCTGAGGAAAAGGAGGCCAGCCCCATTCCTTCTCTCTGCAGATTGTATTTTGAGAAGCAGTGCTCCTAAGAGATGTCCAACTAGTGGCATAAATCCTGTGTGACGTGTTTATTAGTTAGCTTTTTTTGAGGGTGTAGAGATGTTGTAAAACAGCTCAGAGGGAAATGGTTGCTTGCTTGTCTTGCACCCGAATTGAAGGTAAGTGATGTCAGTTATTCTAAAGGTACAGAGATTGTAGGGAACAAGAACTTCATCACGTGTTTGGTAGTCATCTGATTGGTTTCCTAGTGAATATGGGTTTGCATATAAAGCCTTAAGTATCAAATAAACTTTCAGTGCTGAAGTTAATACCCAAGTGATTTGAAGCAGATTTGCTTACCACTTTCTCTTTAAAAGATTAGACTTACAGTGCTTGTTTTTGAATGTGATTGCCATGTTTTTCCAATCTATGAGAATGTTACTGCATAATCAAGCCTCCTACAAGAAAGTAATTCATCACTGTAGCTTAAAAAACATTTGCTACAGCACAGCAGAGAAAAATCCCTTTGAATGTATAGTGTTGAGTTACTGTGATCTGAAACCTCGGGAGGAGTTAATGACTGTGTGCATTGAGCCTAGTGAAAGTTATCCACGGCCTCCTATCTTGCCATGAAGCATCAATGTTCCTGGATTCACTGGCTGTTCTCTGGATCTCCGGCACATACCCTTCCTTTCTCTGCCGTGCCCCTGCCTCACCTCTGGTCCACCAGCCAGCAAGGCAGCCAACAGCTATGGCTTTTACTGTGATCAGTGTGGAGTTGGAAATAAATGTCTGTCCCTTTTGGGGACTAGGAAAACCTTCCAGCTGAAAGGGCGTAATTATGCATCCCAGGTTTTTGCAAAGAGCTCATGGCACGTCAGTGTGAAGCACTACCGCATGACTGTCTGCTGTGTGACAATTGTCATGTGCTGCCTTTCTTACCAGTGCCATTTTCTCCTCTTGCTGTATTCTGCTGGGTAGTGTCTCTTTGCCCTTTGTGTCCGTAGTCCTGGGCTGGGCTCATTTGGGAAGAAGAGGATCACAGCCAAACCCTAAGGAATTATTTCGATTAAAAAGACACCCCCCTCCAAGCTTGTTGGATGGATGATTTATTACCTGTCAAATAAACATTAGAGTAGGTCTTTTATGATGAGGAGAGCAGTGCTCTGTTGAACTATTTACTGTTCACTAATGTTACAGTTTCACTTAAGAATGCAGCATTGTGCAGATGTTATTGTGCAGAATGCTGACTCTTGAGGATTCAGGATTTGTGCCATGTAGGCAGGAGTGCTGAAGCACATCCCCTTTGTCCTTGTGACAAGGCATACAGAAAAGGTTTTCAAGACTGAGGCGTGAAGTTCTGCCAGACCTAGCTGCTGTGTCTGCTGCCTTGAGTTTTCTCATGCTCTCCTTTGCTTCCTGGCATTGTAGCATGGACATTAGGGAGAGGGAACGCCCTACAGAATTGTGTGGAAGAGTGCTCTTCATAAGCAGGAGAGGTGTGAGATTCTATTGAAAGTACGAACCTAAAGATGATGATTACTTCTTCACATTTGAAAAACAAGAACTCAGCAAAACTATTTTTCCTCCGCCGATTACTGAGCCTTATTTGTAGTGGTGAAGTAGATGTGGTAGGCAGAAGGTACACACATGTGCTGTGCAGACCCATGCTGTCTGGGAGGTTGCCATGCAGTGCTGATTCTGTTCAGCACAGCTGATGTCCAGGAGCCTGCTGAGGTACTGCTCCTCCTGAGAGTGTGCTGCCACTGCCATTTTGTGTCCATGCTCTTAGGCTTCTTGTATTCCATCCGGAATGTATTGCATGTTGCTTTGGATTCAAGCAGCACAGTGCGCATAGTTTTTGTATATTCGTGTGTGTGTGTGTGTACAGGACTTCAAAAAAGGAGTATGTGAGTTAGTGTTAAAGCAGTAATGTAAATAAATATTCTTTCAGAAGTCTGTGGGCTGTTACATTGGGCATCTCAAGCCAGTGGCCCTCTGACAGAGTAGTACATCTTTACGAAAGCTATGTTTGTGCTATTGAAAGGAGATGGAGATTGAGATAGGGTGAAATGTTTACTTTATGTTACTTGCATAAGAGAGAAACAAATTGTCTCCTTTTCTGTTGTTCTCCCACATGTTTTTTGCTCTGAGAAGTGATGTGTGAGGTTTTTAATCTGATTGCTGCTGTCCTTTATCAACTGGTCATCAACTAGGGAAGTGCTTCCTAGAATGAATCAGCTTAGCTCAGGCAGTCATCAGTACAAATGCGATTCCTGTTCTAAGTGCTGCTCACCTTTTTGACAAATGTTTCTCTGTTGGTTACTTTTCTATATTTTAAAAGGTTGCAACTTTGTGCTTCACAGTGGGGAAGCGCTCAGTCAGGATTACCAAGAATTGGTTCTGCAGTCAAAGGCTTTTTCTCTCCTCCTGCATTTCCTAGTGATGAGCTTCTTTTAGGT